CACACAACTGACAGGAAAATATAGCCACTAAATTTGTTCTGTTTTTTGGGTCATGTTTTCTGCCTACATTGCGTTTTTACGACTGCCCAATTTTCTTGTCATAGCCTCTCGTCACATATACGTGACGGGCGGGCTTTACCAGTCTGAGGCAACTGATTGCACAGGATTGGCCGTATACACACAGACAAAGTTTGCAACAATGAGAGAGATACAGAATATGCCTTATCAAAGCCGATTTATAAGACTTTTTCCCAGTTTTTCTATTCAATTATCAAATTCGACAATTTTGTGGTGCTACATGCGGTGGCACAAAAATTTGTGTTTCATTTCTGCGTTATTTTCTTTCCTATTTTGCAACTTAAAGTGGGCTTTATTATGCTAAGAGATGCGAAATAATGACTTTTGTTCTCTTGTCAAAGCATTTCGAGGTGCGCCCTCGAGAGTGAATTACTACAGTCCAATAGGGTTGATTCAAACAAGCAAAACCACTGCAAGGGGAAACTATTACAATTTTCCGTTTGGAATAGTAGTATTTTTTTCCAGATATTTATCTGAAAAAAAATTGAATGGATCAACTCTGCAGTGAAGGAGTGGCAATTAGGCATGACTTGACATGTCATTTGGCTATATCCATCTGACAAGCAGATTGACCTCGTGACCTAGCGCAAGCGGTTAAGGTGGTAATGTCACCTGCGGGCATAAATGTCTGCCATTCTCGGTATAAAAACCTAATATTTTTACCACTTACGCCATTTTTGCATTAATCGCCTGACAGATGAGAGTCTATCCACCTTGTCAGCACCACATCCTCGACCAAGACCGCATCTCGAAGTCTGCTAGAAGGGCAGAACAAAGTCATCTGTCAAACGGATTTGGCTTAAGGCATCACCCTCTTCATGAAGACGATTTACACGTGAATGTGTCCACCTATGGGGACTGTCTCCCCCACCCTAGCTTCCTCTCATCCTGTGGCGGCCTGCAAGGTTGGCGATTTCTTCAGGAGCTGTCGGCTAGATGGATCTCAGCCACCATACACCCAACAACACCCAGAAAACAGTTGTCTAGACATGAATAGGCACTTGCCTTGGAATCTCGGAGATATTTAGTGACTCCTTTACAGGTCACCAATGGCACGGCGCTCTTTCATGAGGTACTTTAAAGACGAGGTGAAGAATTCACTGCTCACTCCAGGTCTTTGATGTGGTTTTGGGTGGTACCATGTGCTTAGCAGCCTTGCATGGAATGTCTCATCCCTCAAGTTAAACACGAAGAAAACAAGTTTTTTATCTTTTGATAAATTTTTCATTGGTTAATGCATCGTGCAATTTTCTCTCTACCAGGAATGCAGGGTCCGTCCTTCCTCGGTGGGATCGGTCTACCAACCAGTGACTCATCAAAAGAGGCGACCACTTGGCTCCATTTACAAATGGTGCGCTTTTCCAACGCACCCCTTTTAAAGGGTAAACAAATGTGACAAGAAGTTTCTGCAGCATTTACCAAGTTCCGAAGGCACTAATACGTCAGGCATGTTCAAGGGACAGGAAAAAAAGGAGTACCCATTTGTGGGTGTATTAGTAACTCTCAAGTGGAAGGCTAGAAGTACGGAGTGGTGCAGTAAGGAGATGCCTAATCGCCCAGAAGTGGTGCAAGCATTTCAAAGACGACCATCTCCTTACAACCTCGAAAGTCCCTGTTTGGCGTGAACATTGCAGAGGCGGCTGCAGCTGACTTCAGGTGAATACTGACTATGTTACAACCAGAGCATTATACTTAGGATCATTAGCCTTTGCATCACATCTTTGGTCAGCTAATGAGAATTTATTTTCCCTCCTTTCCCTCGATGGTAAAATCTGACATTTACTAGGCAAAATTCAACCAAATTTGGCTAATTCATCCAATTTTTCCCCATTTCTGCATAAATATGCAGCCACTTGGATAGAACTTGCAAGAGTTAAGTAGCAATGCATCTACTGATGCCATCAGCATTATAATTTTTTTTCATCATCACTTTTTTTTGAAAATGGCTGCTCTTTTGCATCGCGCATTGTCTCCCTCTCTATCTCATTCAGTGCCTAAAAATGCGCCTTTTAATATAAATTCTAGGTGCAGCAAGGCTAAATTTATTTTTATTTTTATGTATTTAACTTGAACATAAATTTCTTTCAGTTCTCCCCTTAGATGCACTTTTTTGGATCGTCGCAAAAACCATTCGCCTGGTGGAGAGTTTTATAACTGTGTGGAAATTCACAGCTCACCTGTTAAATTCCATTTCCCTTATTGGCAAATTAAAATTTTGAATAATGTTAGGCAATGCCTTAGGAATAAATTTATAAATTCACCCTAAAACCTAACAAAATCTCGCCATGTCATTAATGGGTTTCATTATCATCATCGACCAATCAGGAGACAGCAAATCAACAACAAAAAAACTCGTGATCACATTACCAGCACTTTTATGAGGTGTTAATCTCTCCACAAATGGGGATTAAAGTAAATCGTTTAACTCCGTTCCCAGTAAACTCCTACTCTGATGTACCACCCAAAAATCTGTCGTCTAAGGCTGGTTAACTGCCGGATCAAAGAAGTAGAAAGTGAAAGTTAGGCTTTTGGTAACCATTCAAAATTGCACAGGTTTCTCCCTTGTTTCCCTTACGAAAACGGTGGCGTAGGAGGAGGGAACACTTGGCAAGACCTCTTACAGGATTGATGGTAATTTACTACTTAAGTAATTCAGTAGAAATGTACACTTGAGGAAGTGCGTTAATAGGCTTGGTGACGTTGAATGGCGCGGTTGCGGAGGGGCCCTTGACAAAGGCCCGGTGACGCCTATTTTGCGCACTATTCCAAGTGCTTATTATGTTACTTCAATGTGAATTCGACGCATTTTCGTGGCAAGGGTGTGGCCTATTATGTTACATCAATGAGGGAGCGTATCGTCAGAGTCGCACCAGGTGAGAGGTAAAAAGAAGTTCCTTTCGGAGAACGAAATACAGCATTTTCTCGCACTGCTATTTAGCAGACTTAATCTACTGATCAAAGTTGTCACAGTCATGTTTTTTTGTGGGTCAGATCATCCTGTTTTGCTGTACGGACTCGAATAGAGCGACCAGAGGTCGCAGGGGGTCAGTTACTCTCTAACAGCGTTCCAACTATAATGCTAAATCTTCAAAAAAGGTCAGTGCAACCACCCTGCCCTAACGCAAGTGTAAGTTCAGCCTAATCTCAGAGCAGAGTCCTGTGCACCACATATTATCCGATGGAGAATGGAGTCTCGTCAACGCAGATGCAGTGAAGAGCACTAACCTATCCTCGAAATCTTTTTTCCCATCAGAATGAAAAAAAGTCTTTTTTCAGCTAAAAATGCACCTGATTGCGACTGTTAAGTAGCTACCTCACACAAGCATACAGAAGAAAAGCAAAAAAACTGCATAGAAAAAGGGTAAAGATGGAATGGGTCCACTAGTACGATCTCGCCGTGAATCCGTTCAATTTAGGTTGATAGAACTCCTCCACCATCAAGCCAATCAGTTCAGCCAACTCTGCCTCCAACTCAGCCATTGATCGTCTACAAAAAGAAGGAGGTAGTTAAGGCCTGTTGAATGGGCTCTAGAACTGCCGATGGAGGGGAAGAAGGGACTCACTTATCACCCGGTTTTCCACAGAGCTCCGAGTAATACTTGATTTTCGGTTCGGTTCCACTGGTACGCAATGTCACAATCGCTCCGTTGTCAAAAGTGAAGGTTATCATTTGACTCGACGCACTGACTGGAAGTCTCTAGAAGGACAAAAGGTAGATGAGCACCTTCTTGTGTAAACCCTTCTTCTCTCCCCCTCCACCCCCGGCCTTAATAAGCTGGAAACTTACAGCCTTCTTATCGGGATATGAGCTGTCATAGTCAACGGTTAGATCACGCACACCTGTCACCTTGAAACGACCACAGGCGAAAGGATAGTGACCACCCCCGGGCATGCGACGCAGGCGCTCAAACATTTTAACAATCTTTGGTGGTTCGTAGCAGAAGTAGTAGCTGTTGTTAGATACATGCTTGCCGTAGCTGTGGAGAGAGGAAAGTGACATTTATGGTTTGTTCCAACCCAGCTAACTGAACTGCGTGGTTGTGACCCGGTGAAATAAACCGAGTTTACGGACGCCTAATGATAAGCTGGTCGTGCGTACAGAGGAGGAGGACAAAACGGGCCGGCAGCATAATTCACTCTGGTTGGACTTACATGTCAAAAATGTGGTCTAATTGTTTGACTAGTGAAAGATTTTGGTTGTAGAGGTGAGAGGTCATCTCACACACCGCGCTGAAGGCTCCAATGCCGTCCTTGTCCAATACAGTGGTTCCACACATGAACCCGATGGCTTCTTCGAAAGCAAAGATAACCTCACCTCCCTTTTGCATAATCTCGTAGGCCTTATTGGCAATCCATTTGAATCCAGTCAAGGTTTCTTCAAAATTGAAGCCCTCCTTTTGTGCAATAGCGCGAAGGATCTTCGATGACACCGTACTGGCAATCATGTAGACCTTGGAGACTGTAGATTTGGGGAAAAAAGGACTAGTTCAAGTCGGAGTAATGATTGGATAAGTAGAAAGAGGAGGGGAGAATATCTTACGATCGGCGTGAGGATTGCGTTTCCGCCAATTTGTCCACATCCACCATCCCAGTAGAGTGGCCAGTTCGTTTCCACTGAGAATTTTCCAATTGCCGCTGAAATTAGTTGATGTTGGTCAAGCAATGCCTACTTTTAATCAGATAGAGGAGGAAAAAAAGACGAATTGAGACAGACACATTTGGTGAACAGGAGGTAGTACTCTCGCCAGGAGACACAGCCCCACGAATATGGATAAACAATGGATTTGTCGGCGTCAAAGTTTGAAAAGGAAGTGAAGTGGTACCACCCCTTGTTATGGGCGCAACTCGCATGAAGACACACACGTACAACATTCGTTTTCAAAGTGTGGCGGCTTAGGGTGGTACCCAAAAGGAGGCCTTGATTATCTGTTTCTGTTTATGATGTTACTGGTCCATTAGATAACTAGTGCGCGGTAAGGGGTAACCACTTAGCCAAAAATCATTTTCCAACACTGCGTGGTGGGGGTATGATGGATAAGTTCTACGTTTATAGACGTTCGAGCATCACCTCGGTAATTCTATGCATGCATTAATAAACACAACAGAGGGGCTTACTCAAGCCATAAAACTTATGCTAAGGTAGTAGACAATGCATCAGAGAACAAGAAAGACGTGGTTAGGTAGTTTTGATTGCTCTACCAAGCAGAAGTGAGACAAATTTTAATTGAATCTGAAAGATTTAAATTACCTGGGCAATTTCTCAGCCACAGCCATACGATCAGCATCAGGATCATTGGCACAGATGACAGTAACACCGGCTCTGTTAGCAGTGGCGATGGCGAGTTCAAGAGCAGACTTACCCTCCTCTGGATTGGGGAATTTGACGGTGGGGAACTCAGGATCAGGTTTAATCTACCAAAATGAGGTTGATAAAGTAACTAAATACCCGAAATTACCTGTTCCTCAACCAGGACGAGATGTTTAAAACCAAAATGATGAAAGATTCTTTGGGCTGCAGGGGCACCAACACCGTGCATGGCGGTGTAGACAAATTTCACATCAGATTTTCCATTCTCTTCCCTAAATAAGGGGCAATAAGTGAGATGCAAGATCATACTCGGTAAAACAAATGGTTTCTTTCTGAACCTTCATATATGTATCCTCTAACTCAGGCATTGGATCCAGGCAAAGAGGGTTTTTCGTCACATCTTCATACTGCCAAGAGGTCTCTTGTGGTTCGAGGCTCTGAAGAATAGCACTGGCGATCCCTTTATCATGTGGAGAAAGGATCTGTGCGCCATTCTCCCAGTAGACCTTGTAGCCGTTGTCATCTTTAGGATTGTGAGAGGCAGTAACCATAACACCACAGGCAGTTTTAAAGTGTCGGACACCATAGGCCAGTAAGGGGGTAGAATTAAAGTCTCTGAACAGGTAGACCTTCCAACCAGCACGAGTGAAGATGTTAGCAGTGATACTAGCCCATTTCTTGCTGTTATGGCGTCCGTCGAAGCCAACAATGATCCCTTTGGGTTTCAGATAGCTGTGATTGTCGGTAAGATACTTGAGCAACCCCTGAGCAGTTTGAACGATGGTAAGATCATTCATTTGAGAGTAACCAGGACCCATCCTTGATCTAAGACCCGCAGTACCAAATTCCATCCGAACCATCAACAATTTCCTAAGCTTATCCAAGTCATGGCTCGAAGCAGCCATTGCGGCAATTTGGGAACGGGTGGATTCATTCTATAACTATGTGAAACGAGTCTCGTAGTTTGCTTACTTTGTCCCACTTCAGATATTCTTCAACCTTTGCCTTTAGTTGCGGGTCCATATCGATGACGTTCGTGATGTGTACAGAAGCCAGATCAAATGTGACACACACAAACAAGTAGTAAAGGGTGACCAATCCGATAAAAGGAAATGGAGCTCTAGGTGAAATTCAGTGCATCTAGTTAATATAAACTAGACACTCCTAATAAAAGAATCTCTTTAGCATCTAAAAACATCTAATTTGTTTAAATTGGCGCAAAACTTTATTAGTTTGTGATCTACGCTGTTGTAGGGTTGATTTATTGGCTTACCTAAGGGGCAATTTTATGACCAACTGAAGAAATACCGATGTTTAAAATTTGTTCATAAGTACCCGTAAGCACTACAACAGCATACATAATTGTTTTAGATCATTTAATTTTCCTTCTTTCTGTATCTACTTTAAGCTGGCAGGGACATTTTTAATAGCTTTATACGGCTATCACGGAAAAATCCATACTGAACTATTCCTGACGGCTCAGCTCCGCTAGAAAAACCTATTTTGACATCCCCCACAGGTTAGTTTTTATGCTACCGATGCAGCTCTCCTTTCGGGTCGGAATCACTTGCCACCCCCACCAGTGTAGCGTCCGGGTCATGTCGGAGACGTAATTGTAATACGATGGTGGTTTATCCCTTGGTAATGGTGAGGCGCCACTCTTGTACCTCGCTGGGTGGCCTGACCTTCAAGCCATGCCAGTAGTCCAAACACCCCCTCTGTACCGAATAAATATTCTGCCCGAGTATTGTTTCGTCTCCCGTCTTCAGGGAAGTCTCGGGACGCTACATAATAGCGCGTGGTATGAAACACTCACTGGCGTACAGAAGAGATGGGACACCACTAACGTGATCTAAGGGCCCCGATAGAATATTTCAGCCCCTGAAACTTAAGGCTATTCCCATAGATAATATGCCCTCTCAGTAGTCTCGCTGAGTTAGTGTACTACAACTGTAATTGGGAGAAAATACCTTGAATGTGGTGGATCCGATGCCTGCGTCCCCCGACTAGCACCAAAACGCCGACCACAACCCCTTTCGCTTCCACCGCCTGTCACCGCCCATGTGAAAATACCTTCGAGAGGGGGTCTATTTTAAACGCGGCTAATTTACACCAGAACTGGACCCGTAACTTGATGCACAGCTTCTCGTTCTTCCTACACAAAGTGGCGGCATTCATCCAAAACTCTCTGCAAAGATTGCAATTGATACGATAAAAAGCGCGTGAAAAAAGTGTATATTTGTTCGCTTATACAACAATGACACCGTCGCCACAAACACCAACGCGTAAGCCGATATTTACAGTTGACTATGTGCGTGCCTATGAGCGGGTGAGTTGGGCAGCGGGGTATCAAAACACGCCGAGAGGCAAAGCTGCCGGTGGGATCTACAAAAAGCAGAGGAAAAGACCCCGGACCTCGCTCAGTGTCTAAAGCTAAAAGCAGTCGCGAAGAGCGAATGCTTTGATCGACCACTAGAAAAGTTTCCACCCAGTGGGTTTCAAAAATCCCTAGCGTAAAAAAGCTACTTAAAGGTCATGCAAGCGACAGAAGCTGAGACCGTGGTAGCGGTGAATGATGCGTGGAAGGATGGATGGATGGATACGAGATGGACGGATTCAAATCCACAAACAGTTCAAGTAGCTTCAGGTGAAGGCAAGCCCTTTAACACCACACAGGACAGTGAGACATTGAATATTCAAAAATTCAAACCTACATAAAAACCCATACGAGGGGGCCGAAATTGACCGCAACTTCAGTTGGATGGTGGAAGAGGAATAGTGGAGGGCGAGGCGATGTTATAGAGCCGACTGTCATTTGATCGCACGAAGGAGGTTGCCTGCTCCTCCTCCAACGACACGCATGACCAATTACTGTTATTTGGCACTGTCAGTGATTGACTCTTCGCTTCATCTGATCCTACCTTCAACTCAAACTCTCCCTCCCTCATTGTCCCGTCCTTTACTTTCTCCTCATCTAACGACGACTCTTCCTGCTTCGACTTCTCTGCTGAAAGCAATGAGGGGGAAATAGAGGAAATAGAGGCAAATACGGGGTGATTAAGCAACGAAGACTCCGCAAGTATTAAAGTCTATCTCCCTAACTCTTCTGCCCTAATCAAACTTTTCTCAATTCAAATGCCTAGTTATACGTTGACGACGAGTACTCGAAGTGCTGCAATGGTGACAACGGTGTCTGGATTTCGGCGACTAAATAGTCAGCACAAAAGGCCATCTCAACCTCGTATTTGGGGGTAAGAAATGACACCAATACAAAGCCAATTAGCTAAGAAATGAATGCAGACCCATCAAAACCTACAAAATGTGTCATCACCTCATCCTTGTATTTGAGATTGATATATTTGACTAGCCTGTGATGACTGACTCAGAAAAATGACAACAAAGCGCGCCGAGAAGGGAAGAAAAAGCAAGCTAACAATGTCACCAGCTACGTGGTCTCCCTGTAGGCCTATAACAAACTCGCCTTAAAACGCACATTTTAAAAGAAGGCAGGATAAATGAACCCTACCAGACGCGGAAGCGAGAGGTGAAGGCCTGCGTGTGTGCCTCGATCGCGACTCGTGTGAACGTCGCCGCTGTCGTCGATGGCGGGAGGAGGAGGTGGTTGCCGAAGACGAGGAGCGACGTCGACGACGGGAGTGTCGTAAGTGACGGGAGGACCGAGGAGACCTTGACCGTGACCTTAGACGGTCGCGAGAACTTCTAGAAGCGCCGGAGATGGTAGTGGTGGCGGCTACTTCTGTGGGTGGTCGGGCATCAGGAAGCTGAAAGTAAAGGACGTTTGACGTTTATTATTGTTTGGCCTGCCATTCGCTGGTGGCATGGAGACGCACTCCCTCTGCCCGAATTAATAATCTCCCAGCCCTTCTGTAGACGTAGGAAGGAGCTACTTTTATACTCGAGGGCAGCGTAGGGAGACAAGCTCGACACTTTTAACCCCTTGGGATGGATGACTGAGTCCGAAAAAAAAAACACTGTCTACATTATTTCTGTATAGTAAACAAAATGAAAGATCACTACTAACCACCCGTGTCCATGTCACTTCCTTATTTTCAAACGGTCTAATTTACACCTCTGGGAAAGAAAAGGTGGATCAGAACTTGGAATATGGAGAATTATCAGCAAGAGACTATGGAAGATGGAAATGAGACAGAAACTTCCTCTCCCTCCCCAATCTAAGTAAGGCATAAATCGTCTCATAAACGTCCTATTGCGGCTTGAGGTCCTGCCCTTCGAGGTGTAACGAGCACATCTCGGCCACAATTTATAGCAGACAATTTCATCTGTAGTCCACAGAAAGCAAGCATTAGACTACTGAGAATGAAGCAGTGAGTGCCCTAAAAGAGGCTGTGGAAAAAAATAGTTTGGAGACAATCCCATCGTATAACGTACGTTGAATGAAAAACAGATGGATAATGTTTGAAGTTTACCGTCAAATAAAGAAGCATGCTCAGTAGTCTCCATGACCTTTTCCTTCCAATTGATGGAGATGCAAACGGCTTGTTAACCACGACTTAAAGTTGTTCTTGACATGTAAACTAGCAGTGTCGACTCGTACTTCTTCGTTAGCATGAATAAATAGTCTCCATGAGCGTGATGTGCCTAACTTTAAGTAATTCATCACTAGAACGGGATTGTTTGGACCACATCTGGGTGATAAGTTCTGCTACCGTGCAGTGCACTTTCTCCAGTATTATGAAAATTTTACGAGAAGCCCTGCAACCTGGCAACCAGATTCACTTCCAACACTCACTTCACATTCAAGGAGGGTTCAAAGAAAGAGGGGAAGTGATGGGAACCACAAATTAAGAGCACCATACTGGCAGACCAACGCATGATCGCTCTTTATAAGGCATGCCTTTCCCGAGTGCCCTTAAGTGGAAAAAACACGTCTTGGAAGATGGGTCGGAAATTTGACCGATTGAAAGGGGAGGGGACGAAAGATGAGAGACGCTGCCATGTGTAAATCTCCCTAGAAAAAGAAATTAATCCAAAAAAGGCACTAGTTATGGATAAAATCCTATTAAAACCCACAAGGAACACCACAACAAGTGAATTCGGAAGACCTCCTGGAGAAATGGCAGAGGATCGTGCCGTCATTCGCTCCTACCTCCTGACTGATTTCAAGTGAACAGGTTACTCTCGTGATGGCTTACGTCAGAGACAAAAGAGATACCCCGAAATGAAGTACATTTGGGCGAACTCGTTCAATCCCTCAAGGCTTCGGGTCCCCCAACCCTTCCAGCACGACCAAATAACGAGGCTACTTGCCAACTTATTTATCTGTAACGTTCCAAAGCGGTCAATATTCACTCGAATTAAGCTTTATTTCCTAAGCAATTAGAAGCGTACTAACTCCCGACTACACGACTAGAGATATGACGAAGTTATCAAGTTTATATGCCTCATTTCAGATTTCAAGGCAGAGGCTGTGATTTCCATCCATCTGCCATGTTTCAGCACCCACTGAATGACTAATTACGTTAGGTTAGGCTTAACGCCCAATTAGCCAGTTATGTCAACGGTGCTGCTGGCCCATTAATCCCTTTCACAAGCACAATTAAGTTGCCTCCAGATGCTTTTTCTGTAACGCCTTCAGGAGCAATTTGAACGTACTAAAAACTACGTCAACGTCTAAATCAACCCGTTTATCGTAACTCTTATCGAATATCGTGGCCTTGAGCCACGGAAATTCTTCCAAATAATTCTGCACATTTATAACGCCATTCCCATTTCCGCTGACAAAGTCAGCATTATGTTTTTAGATCAAGCTTTTCTTAGAGCGTTACAATACGCTACACCCCTTTTCTGGGAATAAAATCCACAATTTCTAGAGTTTAGCCATTTCCCATCTAAGGTGAGTGTCCATACAAAGTGGCCGTAGTTCACCTATTATGAGAACTTGTAAACCCACTATTGGTCAGATTCAAATGAGGCATTAATGTTAAAAAAGCAGAAAAAGATTAAAAAACAGACCTGTTCTACATCCATAGAAAGCAGCTTCGCAGTGACAGAAGCAGCAGCAACAGCTGTCGCTGCGGGGAGTTGACTAATCACGGGGTTTGTATTGATTCCATCAGGTGGTGAGATGGCCTTTGTGACCCTCAGTAGCTGGCCACCCAAGTCAAATCTGTTCATGCTCATGACCGCAGCCGTTGCAGCTTGTTCCGACTCAAATTCAACATAGCCAAAACCTCGATGAAAGCCAGGGCGATGTGGGTCAGGTGCCAAACTAAGGTTTGATAGGGTTAGTAGTCAAATCGGCGAACTTACCGACACATGGTAATCTTTCCAAAGGCCTCAAAAACCAACGCGATATCAGAATCTGAAAGATCTAAGTGCACACCAGAGACATATATGCGACTCTGAAGTTTATAATCATGGATTAGTTCTGCCATAAATGGCGCTGCGTCAGGAAGGTTGCTAGGCCGACCAACTTTAAGAAGACGACCACCAAAGTTTGAACCATTCATCTGCTCAATCGCCAACTGAGCTGCTTCAGGATACTCAAATTCAACGAATGCAAAGCCCTTGTGCTTCTGCGTGACTGGATCCCAACTCATACTGACATTTTTTACAGGACCAAATGGGAGAAATGCTTGTTTGATCATCTCTTCTTTGATATCGTAGGCGATTGAGCCAATATAAATCCGATTAAGCAAAGCAAGAGTCTGATTTCTGCGTGCCGCATTCATCTGCAGGCTTTGAGATTGCTGAGTTTGTTTAAGAAGAACTATTTTAACATTTTGTTCCATGGCATACTTTTTCGCACGTTCAATTGCATCCTGTTGTGAACCTTCAAGTTTTCGCAAAACGAAAGGAATATCACGTTTCTCGGCACCGGGGCCATTAAAGACAGGGCCATACGCCTCGATGATGACGTCTTCGACAGGAAGACCTGTAATCATCCTCCAGAGGTATGTGGGAAATGCACACCCAAAAGGGTACGAAATTATACTATTACTCGACTGTAATTGGTTAACTTCGGAATTGTGGCCACAGAAAATGTTTTTTTAAATAATTGCTTGAAAGTCCAAAAAAGCTAAGTTGTGAAAAAAAATTAGTCAAACAGTTTTTTTGCGCAACCACGAGAGTAAAGAGGCTTCTGAAGAAACCCTTTTTAAAAATGGGGCGGAATACAATAAGTTCATAAGCTGTTGCATGTCGCTGTCAATTTTTTTCGTTTTTTGGGTCTATGTGCAAAGGAAGACAAATTTGTCACAACACCATTTAGGACGCCCTAAAACCAATCGTTTTGAGCCCAAAGACTTTCATCAGAATGTCCACGTAGTGTTCGTTGGGCTTTCGAGGTGTTACATTGCTTTTTTCATTTGCCTCTTACCTCTTTAATTAATTTTCAGTGAGCTTGGCGTTTGTTAGGCTTGCAGTTTACTCAGCAAATTAGTTCGTAAAAATCCTGATTTTTAAATTAGGTTTTATAGGATACCCTACTTATTTCGATTCTGGAAAACTACTTTTGATGGTCGTGTAAATTATATCAACGTCTAATTGGTCAGTTTATTGCTTGGTGACTTCTGCAGCCTATTTCCTTTCATCCGGAGCACGTTTCAAATGGAAGATAGAGTGTAAGGTTTTCATTCACCTTTGAATATTCTTTTTAAGTGGTGCAGAAAAACCTTTGCCTAAACTTCCTACAATACCAATAAAGCTCCTTAAGCGCCGGAAACAGACAAATAAGGATGTCATTAAACAGCAAAGATTACGTTCAACAGAAATCCGCAGAAGGGCTCATGAACGCCGGAAAGCCTTCCACAGACCCGCTCACTTTATAGCTGTAAGTGCACTTGTTTCCTATATTTATGCACTAAGGCTGCTCGGAAAGAGGCCAGAGATAAAGCCAGGATCGCTCGAGAGGCTAAACGCAAGGCCCCTATTGCTGGTCCGGAGCGTCTCGGCATTGTCATTCGAATTCACGGCGATGAGGGTCTTTGCACAGATTCTATAAAAGTCCTGCGGATTCTAAATTTACAAGCTTTAAACACCGCTGTTTTTGTTAAAGTCTCCGCAGCAATGCTTGAATTGCTGACAGTAGTTCATCCTTACGTTGTTTGGGGCTATGCAGATCTTGCCACCGTTCGGAATCTCATATTCAAAAGAGGTAAAACCAAAGTTGGGCATAAGATTCGCTCGATTGACAATGCCTTGGTGGAGAGTAAACTCGGTAAGACTTGATTTTAGCCGCCTTGAGCACGTTTTCACTAGGATCACTGGGTATTCTATGTATTGAGGATGTTATTCATGAACTTATGACTCTGGGCCCTCACTTGCGTGATGTTTTGGGCTTTCTTTGCCCAATTAAACTGATGCGTCCTGCCGGTGGGTGGGGGAGTCATCTGAAGAAGTCACAGCATGCTTTCAACCATCTTGTCGGCAACAGGGAAGAAATGATTAGTGAACTTGTTCACAAAATGGTATAGTCTCTTTGTGCAACGTTTGCGGAATATATGATGTTTTAAAATTAATCGATTTCCTTGTTGTATCTGTGAGGGTTCCCTGACTGCGAAATTGGTCGATTGAATGGTCGGCTCAAAGAAAGCGAGAAATCTGTGCTTCGAACCACCCAAGGTGGGGAGTTAATGGTACAGTTTGAGCACTCTTCAGTGATGTCCTGCATTTATATTTGAAAGGTTTTTTTCAGATTGCTTCCATATCAGCTAGGAACGGATAAGAGCAGTGAAGGTGGCATCAACATTTTAACCTATTTATCGTCCCGAGTTTGAGTTAGGTTAACTGAACTTGATGCATTTCAACATCACGTCGGTGGCCAATCCACGTACCGTTTGTGACGATGACTGGCACCATCGATGGCGCGTGCTTGCGTGTCACAGCCGTTCGAACCCGCGGATACCCGCTCTCGTCTACAGAGGGATTCAAGTGCACTAGTCTACGATAATATGGCAAGCGGTTGAAGTAGGACATCTAACTGGCGTGATCACCTGTCAGTGACGACGCCGGGCTTTAGCGGCCCTCCATCCACAACAATCGTCTGCTCCTCTAAGCGAGCACCCAGACTGGTCAACGCGTAACTCCCCGCCATGTAACAAGGTCATGCAAGGGTCGAGATGGAAGAAAAGAACTTCCCAGTTCCTGTCAGTATATACGACGAAGCTGGCGTGCGACTATACCACCACATTCTGGTAAACAAACGAGCACCCAGGCACCCTGAGATGGCACGCCCGTCTGCATCTCGGTTATTTTTTAGGCGGTATCCAAGGCCTCGAATAAATGCAGCTGAAATCCGTTCCGAAAAAGCAAATATCGTCACCCCTTCCCTATTTTTTAAGGCAATAGCTCCCGAATGGTATGGCCAGGCAGAAATGCCATAGGAACATTCACATGTAAAGGTCTATTGCTACAAACAAAAGCTCTTTATACAACAGGGAGAGAGTAGGCAATATGAAAGACAGGCTGATGGCAGAGTTCTGGGGAAAGATGTACAAAAACGAATGAAGATGGTGAAAAGCAGTCCTTTACTGTGCCGCATGAGCATCAGGATTCGAACGGGCCCGACTCGCTGATGCATCTTTGAGGTCCAGAGAGCCAAGACCGTGCAATAATTTCTCCTCCTCGTCGGACTCCCCAACTTCGTCTTTCGGTAATGAAGGAAGTCTCCGTTCTGACGCGTCCTGTTCCACCTTCTTCGGTAATGTCTTCTCAGACAACAGATCCTCCAACTCAACAGTCAACTCTTTCTCATCTTTGATCGCTCCCAAAAAGCTATCAGGGGAGGTCAATATAGCGTTGGAAATGGAATTCACATCATCCATCGCCTCTACTATCTCGTCCATAGTCTTTTCGGCATCTTCTAAACCTTCTAAACCACCTGTAGTCTGTTTCAAAGCCAAACTGGCGTCTGAAATGGCATGGAGAACAGTTCGGTTATCCTTTGCAGCACTGATTTTCAACTCGAGCGCCTCTAGTTGGGTCAGATGCTGAGTTTTTCGTGCCAAATCGGCTTCTAATTGCTTGCAACGACGCAACATATCCAACGCAACCTGCTTTCTGCAGGAAACAAATTAGTACATTTAACACTTACTGATTATTTCGTGCCAGCTCCCTGACTCGCGCACGACGGGCTGCTATTTCACTGGAGAGACGGTTCTCATCCTGACTAATTTGTCGCATGGTTTTCCGCAGGTGTGCGATAGATGCTAGGGTTTTTGAGTCGAGATTTATAGGCTGCTTCTCGGTGAGCAAAAACACCAACTAAATAAGAAATGTCGTCAAAAAACCATGCAAAAATTCACCTCAACGGGAGTCGAGGACTCGACTTTTATAAATCCCCTCTCAGAAAGCTGGTTGCTGATAAAGAGACGAGTGGGTGTATGTTCGAAAAACGACACAAGAGCGTCGTCAAAATCGTCATACATATACACATGCGCGCCATGAATAAGAGATTCCTGCGATGATTTGAGGTTTTCAATAAACTGCTTGCACAAAGGTGCAACATGTTCAGTGAGATACAGGGGAGTATCTGGCGACTCATAGCTCCTCTGATTAAGATCATCATTGAGTGAACTAAATGGGTTTTGGGAAAGAAGAAAGCTTACTCAGCCCCTTGTATAAACGCCCATACCCAAGAAGCGGGTTTCCTAATGACCCACTCCAAACCCCAACTCATAATGCTGCTAAACATGCCATCTTGTTTCACAACATTCAGTAGTCCATTGTTCATCATATCATTAAGGACTTGATGCAGACACAGTGGATAGTAAGTAACTCCGTCGGAGCGAAATTCCCGTTTAAAGAGCTTTGTTAAGGAGGCCTCCGTCACAACAGCAATCCGATTATGCTTTGCGTAGCTAACAATAAGATCCCTCCAAAAAGAAACCTTATGATCGTATAAAACAGGATCAAGATGGCGAGGCCTTTTTATTGGAACAAAAAGGCTATATATTTCATCATCATCACCCCAAACCTCTGGGAGTTTGAACTTTTCCATGACTGGAAAGAAACCCAGACCCTAACCACGTCAAACCAAATCAAGCAATATTTTGTCAACCCATTAGAACACTCTGATAAAACAGATAGTTAGTAATTGCCGCATAGGTAGGGGTACACAATTAAAAAAAGTTTGTTTAGGTGGTACTGCAAATGCCATGAAACACTTTGTTATGGGATGTGCATTTCAAGGTATCTCGACTGAATTGTTTCAGAAACAATGAATTTGGCTAATGCAAATTTTTACAAACCTCTTGAAAGGAGCTTAGAAAAAAATTTATAAAAGGCATTGTAATTATGCGTAGGATTTTCGCAAACTATTGACAAATAAACCCAAAAGCATTTTATTTGTGGTGTCCCAAATGTAAGCCTCTATTAAAGTTATTTAAATGCAACATACTATGCCCAATGTCTTCTCTTTAGATAAAGAATGATTGTCCACCACTCTAGTAAGTGTAGGCGGTAAGGTTAATAGTATTACTCTACTACCACGATAATGGGGAAAGCCATTAAACGTAAAGGTTAAAAACAGCCTCTTTAAATTTTTACTTTCCACCTTTTTCCGGAAGTGCACTTTTCAACAATTTACTTATTGCACAACAATCCCTAAACAACCGGAGAGAATGTGTTGCCTTACTCTCTTTTGTTTACTATTTGAAATGATTCTGCAGCCCTTTCATATATTTAACATCTGTCGTGTAGCGTCCCGATACTCCCCGAAGACGAATGGGGACACAATACTCGAGTAGAATACATATATTCAGCACGGTGAAGGTGTCTGGGCTATTGGCATGGCCCAAAAGGCCAGCCCACCCAGCGAGGTATAAGGGGGCCAATTTGAAGTACAAAAGTGGCGCCTCACCAGAACCGAGGGATAAACCACTATCGTATTACAGTTGCGTCTACCAAAATGGTTTGAAGCTCAGCTTACCTAAAAAAAAAGGCAACAGCGGAGACCCCATTAGACCCCTTTACTAAAATGGCGAGTCGAACAGACAGCCATCGCATTACATCACATGCAAATTCTAGTTTTAACAAGTAGACATTTAATTTGTGAGACAAATCAGGTTTATTTGGATTGTATTCTTAATAGCAAATGACGACAATCTAAATTGTTTAATCTAGTGTTTAATAACGTAGGTAAAAGCCCTTTCAAATTGTACTTCATTCCCACAATATGCACTTGGGCCATACCAAAAGCCTACCGGACATCGCGATATCACTAACAAGTTTTCATCCAAAAAACTATGTCTATTGTAGCAACAGGAGAAATTTGAGGTGCTGCATTACTGGCAGCAGCAAGCAAAGCCGATACAATAGTGTAATTGCTTTGGTTTACTCTGATGTAAGATCAGACATAGCTTATCAGAAGAAGTGTATTTGCCGGTAATAAGATGATCTATAATGTCTTTGGTGCTTTGATGTGTAAAAAATTAGAAACATTGAAAAAGTCAAATAAACAACTGCTTTAGCCCCGTGTCATGCTGGAAAACCACAATCTGAAGGCACACCTGTTATTGAATGCCTTGTAAATTTTTGTCAAGTAATTTTTTCCCTTTTTCGTGTATAAATGTCTACAGGGTGTACCCGCATTATCATCTCTGTTAGTAATACCCACATATGCTACAGCACTTCTTACATATGCAGGAAAGTCTGCTGGAATTTCATCTAAAAGTGTAAACAGGCTATACTTTTGTTAAAAGTAAATGCGTTTTGCAATTCGTTTACTTTGCTTAAGCTTTTTTTGGCAAAAAAGACCGCATTATTTAACCAGACTTCACTATTATGGAATTTAAATCCTGTACTCCTGAAATTTTTTTGCACGTATAAACATGCCTCACAAACCCCTTTTTTCTGCACTAAAATTTTAAACGTAGTGGATTTACATTTAAAGTTAATTAATTTTAAGAATTTCAAGTCAGTATTTTATTGCCCTACTTTGTTTCATTGCTTCGCACCGGTGATATCTGGTAAAAGCGCCGGTTTGGTTCAGTTTTTCACTCACTTCGGTATGCGGACTGCAATACTTTCTAGCCGGTTTTCCCCACTCCTTTTTCGCTTTTTATCCGTACGATCTCTTCATGATCTCCGGATGCCTACCTGTGCTATTGGCAATAAGGCTCCAAAGCAGGTAGACAGTGCGGCTGAGCTTTTCCAGCATCTTCAAAGTGGCCAAAATGTTTTTGTCCAGGGTGGCGCTATGACACCTACCATTTTGGTTAAGCATCTTTGTCAGTACGCTATCGACAAAGACTTAACTGACATTAAAACCGTCCATATTCACACTGAGGGGGAATTCCCTGTTAACGACGAGTCTGTTAAGCACCGCTTTCGTAGCACTTCTCTTTTCACCGGTATGTCTCTAATTTCTTTTTATCGGCATGTTTTTAGGTGGAAACTGCCGTAAGGCCATCGCTTCTGGTCAGGGTGACTATGTTCCTATCTTCCTTCATGAAATTCCCAAACTTTTCCGGAAAGGAATTATACCCCTTCGCTATGCTCTTATTAACGTCTCTCCCCCTGATCATCACGGCTTTTGTTCCATCGGTTGTAGCGTAGATGTAACAAGAAGTGCCCTAGAGGCCGCCGAAATCATTGTTGCCCAGATTAATCCCCATGTTCCTCTCTGTAAGGGTGATGCTGAAATCCACATCAGTAATATCGATTACACAATTGATGGACCAATGCCTCTGTACGAATTAGCGTCTAAGCCAAGCTCTCCACAGGAGAAGAAAATTGCTGAGCTTATTGCCAGTGAATTAGTTGCTGATGAGGCGACTCTTCAGACAGGAATTGGTTCAATTCCTGACTCCGTTTTAGCTCTTCTTGCTAACCACAAAAATTTGGGTGTTCACACTGAACTCTTCTCTGATGGACTTGTTGACCTCTTTAAAAGTGGAGCTGTCACCAATGCTAAAAAGCGCCTCTTTCCCGGCAAAATCGTCTCCAGTTTTATCATTGGAACCAAAAAGTCTTTCGATTTTGTTAATGCCAACAACGGCATTGACTTACTAGACATCGCGTGGACGAATGATCCTTCAAACATTGCTCAAAACCCACGTCCTACTGCAATCAACTCGTGCATTGAGATTGACATCACCGGTCAGATTGTTTCTGATTCTATTGGTTCGCGAATTTACTCCGGTTTTGGTGGTCAAGTTGACTTTTTACGAGGCGCTGCTATTGCCAGGGACGGTCTAGGTGTCCCAATCATTGCTCTGGCCTCAACCACCAAAAAAGGCCAATCAAAAATTGTGCCCTATCTTCAGAAGGGTGCCGGTGTTGTCACCACAAGGGCGCATGCTCATTACGTTGTAACTGAACACGGTATTGCCTTTCTCTTTGGCAAATCCCTTCGTCAGAGGGCTTACGAGCTGATCCGTATTGCCGATCCTGCCCATAGGTTAGTTACTGCTAAACCTGAAAATCTTTCAATCTTTATTTTTCACTCTCTTTTCCTGCCTTCTAGGGAACAGCTTGAAAAGGATGCCTTCGAAATTCTCAAAGTCATGCCCTCACGTGACTAGACTTCTCTATCCGCGTACTTCAGAACTCAGGACAGTTCGTTTTCGCTGCTGCGGCTTTTGTCTATTGTAGTTCAATCTCAGACATTGTTGTCTCTCACGCACATCTATTTTATTACCCTTTCCTCCCCGTTATTGGCACCTTATAAATTCGATGTTAGAAATAGAATCAAAAATGCTCTTTTTTGTTCATTTTTCATGTCATCTAAGTTCAGTCAGTGGTTATTTAAGGTCATATATCCAAGCACACACACGAACGGAAAAATTGCACCAACTCAGTGAAATTAATGGCACGATATGAAATAAGTAAGGTTTTAGCCCCGGGCGCTCTAAATGTGTCACCTCGACCTCAAATAATGGGGCGTCTCGACTGCTGAGAGGAGTCATACGACTTGTGTGCAGACGGCGGTCTGAGGGCATCGCAGCTTAGGCATTAGTTCAACAATCAGGCGATGAGATGAAAGAGCGTAGATGCACTCCATCAGCCATCCAACGCCTTTCCAGGCATTTTCCCTCTACTTTGACTGCTTTTCTTTCCCTCTCCTCTCCATTCGTCCCTTTATCAACACCATCTAGATTAATCAAGCCATTGGCACAAAGCACGAAGTTAAAGGGGAGCGAATTCTCGTGACCTACTTTACTGTAGCCTAGTTTGTTGAGTTTGTGTTGGTTTAATCACGAGGTCTGTGTTTTTGGCTTCACCCGTAAGATCTTGCAGCAGTTATTTCGTTTGATCAATTTAACTTCACCGCGAGGGCGAGGCATGTGGTCACTGACTAGCGTAGTAATTCACTTAGAAACCTCTTATTATTCTGCCATGGCATGACGCTAGGGACTCGTTAATAATTGCCTCAAATCAAATGCATGGACTCAAGGACTGGGCGGGCAAAACAGCTTGGCAGGCTATCAAGACGGGGAGGGGGGCGGTGAGGGGTTGCGATGGAAGCGTCATTAAGCAATGGAGGAGGCAACGGTAATCTAGACAACCTTAGAGAAGTGGGCAGGCAATTCGGGCGTCTCTTACTGATTGACTTACCGGTCATTACCGTCGTCCTTCTTCCCCGTCGTCTAGGTTAGGATACACAAACACGCATGAGCCTACTTACTTTTGTTCAAAGTGCCTCCAGCCAATCAGTTGGTCATGCTTCTTTGAACAGAAGTAAACAGAAACAACAGCGCCAAGGATACAGCCAACAAGCACGAATAATGAGGAGGTAATAAAGTGGCTAGCCAGGCTGAAGTCCCCTACCCTCCCCACATTAGGGTCACATAGTGGGTATTGAGGGCAAATGAGGTCCGAGACCTTGGGTTACGCAGTCATTAGCGTTTGAGCGGTTGAATTATTCTAATCTGAGCTCCGAGGAGGAGGCATTGCTTGTTGAAAGTCAAATTCACGGTTGATGTGAAGCACTCAGGCGTCTGTAACACGCCAGAATGAGCGACCCTTTGACTTCAGCGTGGGCGCTGTGACGCCCTTAAGGGTGCTGGCATTGACTAGGCGCGGCGCCACCTACCTTTTCTCAGGAGGACCGCTTTCAACGTATTTTAAGCAGGATTGACGATTTTTAACTGACTTTTCACTTTTTTCATTTAAAACCAAGGGAGAAGTAGATGTAAATACGATGCTCTGACGTCTTGTTTAACTCGGGGTTCAGCTGCGCGGGTGCTTCAGTTTTTGCGAGTAGGGCGTCCGTTCTAAAGAAAATGTTTGACAAAACACATAAACATCCTTTCAATGCAAGAAACGTCCTCTCCTCTAAATTTTTTGTTTGGTTTTTCTAGTACATCCGAGTGTACTTGCAATTTTGGCAAGTTACGACGGCGAATCTATAATCTCGGCACAGGATTTTGACACCTTCACTTTGATTGTCAATTTGAAAACATTTACAATCACGTTTTTGTTGTCATAATTTTGGGAAAGCGCTGGTGATAAGCATTTCTTAGCAAAGTTGAAAGAAAAAGTGACTTACTACCCCTCAGTTGGCCTGTTACGACGAAATTTTCGTTTTTTGAAAAAATATTTGCATTATAAGCCTCGTGAATTATTCGAAAGCCGTTAGTTGAAAGAAGTAGAAGAAAAATAAAAACAACACTTGGGGCTTTCGCAAAAAATGTCACAGTTCAAGCACATGCTTGAAGTTACTGCGTCGAAAGGCTATTTGTAAATTAGATGAGGAGCATAAACAAACGCGCAGAACAAAAAGTGTTTTAAGGTATATAAGATGAAAAGCGCACCATTAACTCTTCATCTTGGTAAAGGTTTGGTGACTCCCTAAAAAGGCTATTTTTAGCAAGAAAGTAAATCGCAATTGCAGTACATTGATTGTCTATTTGTCCCTCGGTTTCGGAAATAGGGTTATCGTGCCTTCAAAGGGTGGGCTGGCCTCCAGACCAGGCCAGTGGCGCCAGTCGCCTTTTGTAGTTTGACAATACATAGTATGCCCAAGTGCTGTACCTTCTTTCGCCTTCAGGGTAGACTCAGGTACTGCAATGGAAGCAGAAATAGCGAAACTTATCGTAGGGCACATCTATCCTGATTACTACTGTTTGGCTGTAAATCTTTGAGGAGCAAAAGATGGGAGAATCTGTCACGAACCTTAACAAAAGGGTTAAAAATGACGTCTACCCTTGGCAGCTACCCCAACCTGGTATTTTGTAGGAAAGCCACCAACAGCTCAATAAACACTTTTCGTGAACCATCTTAAAGAGCTTTGTTGCAGAATCGTCAACCTTTGCTCTGCAAAGATATCAAGTATGCGACCTAGCATTATCTACTTGCTGGACAGAACCCAGGTGGGTATAGCCGGGCAGAACTTGAGTGGGAATAACGTGGTACAGAGGAATAAAAGCGGCATTCTAACCTGATAGACCTGTGCTAATTTTTTGCCATATGACGCTGCTATTAGGTCAGTATTCCTGTAAAAAGCTGTGGACACTCATTTTAGCTGGTTCATTTCCCCGTACCTGCTACAAATAAATATCCACTTGAAATACGTATATTTGTCTATCCACTGGAGCTAAGTAATGCAATAGGTCTTTGTTTTAATTAGCAAAAAGTAGATAGTAAAACTGGTTAAGCGCAAATGATAAATATGGCAAGAATGCCAAAATAGAATTGGATTTTGACAATGTAAAAGTAATATCAAAGGTAGAATTTTCGCCCCATAATTGTTTTATGAGCCAAGTTATGCATATTACCTAAGACAGTTGCAAGCAAAGTTGCAAAAATGCTAAATTGTTTAGTTTGTTATAATTGATCAAATCACATCTTAAGGTCTTAACCGCCATTTTTAGCAATTCCCCCATTGATTCGCACATTGTGTGCGGGTTATTCATTAGAGGATTCGAGGATTTAATATCAAACTAGTCTGATCATTGTACCTCTGCGAGTATTTTTTACAATGAAAATTTGTAAAAATCACTTATAATCGTGTATAATGATGTTCTATCAAATCTTCTCATTTTTTTAGTAAGGTAACTTTGCTGCTTTATTGCATTCACAAATCCAAATCCCCGAAAAATTATTTTAACCTTAACTCGGTCTTGTAGAATGCCAAGTACGACAAATTTGTCTTCTGCAAATTTAAAAATGACCAATAAATCCCTTCAAATCCAAGTTGAAATGCTTGATTTAACACGTCAGCACTTCCAAATGTCTGTAAGTTTTACCACAAGTCAGTTCTACTGAAAAACCTCCTGTTTTTTGCTATCTTCTGTTTAGGTGTTACCATAACAGTAGAAAGTTCCCCGAAATCTGTCCTCATTATCCATTAATGTGCATACATCAGTTAATAAGGTTTTGAGAAATTTTAAATTGCACAAAATTTTTAGAATTCACGTGTTTGTTTGCTCCTTGTGTTTTATAATTTTAACATTTCACTTTTTCCTTTAGCTACGTTCCTCTGGCCAAGATCTTTACACCGCCCTAATGGATCGATTAGGCGTTCTTGAAACGGATTACTTCGATCTAGAATATGTTAATAGAGACGGCAATACCGTAGCGCCATATTTCTTCCCTTTACACCCCATCTTTCCTTTTAGTGCTGGCTAGATCATCTCAAACCTCTGTGCAAACAGCACAATGCGGAGAAGGAATTCATTTTCACCTTCTGCGTAAAGTTCTACGCCCCGCATCCAAACCTACTTGAAGATGAATTTACCAGGTTTCTTAGTTTCTTCTTTTTTGTTACCACCTACAGGTATCTGTTTGCCCTCCAAATCAAGCGGGATCTCTACCGTGGTCAAATCCAGTGCAGCGAAAATACGGCCGCCCTCCTGGCCGCTTTCATTGTTCAGGGTGAGTTATCATACTCGTCTCATAACCTGTAGTATGTGGCTAGTGAGTGGCACTTTGTATGTTCCTTCAAGATCAACTTCAAGAAGTTCTTATTCATACGTCCATTTTTAGTTGATTAAGATGAATTGCATTCCCATACTTGAGGCGGAATTCGCAGTAGTCCCCTCTAAATCTTTAAATAAAGAAAAAGCATCAGCAAAACACCGTGATTTTTTGGTTTTGGAGCTGACTATCAAAAGACTACTTAGGGCTTTATTCCCCACACGCAACGGACTGTCTAGCATTGACCGGCAGCGAAAGTACCAAGCCGATGCTTCCTAAAAATGGTGATTAGTAAATATGTGTTTTAGTTTAATGCCGCTTTAAAAGAATTGCCATTTTGACCGACTCGTTGGGTTATTTTCTTGCAATTTTGCTAAAAAGGTGATTTTATGCAAGCAAACTTTTTAGGTCTAACTAGAATAACCTACTTTTTGCATGAAAAGTTGTCGTGTTTGTTGATAGTTTTGTGTCAGGCCTCTTAAAATTCTCTGTCCAAAGTACAAAAAAGCACAAAACAGTTGTTAGGCTATGCCACCACTTTGCAAACAATGTATAGACGCTCCTTTTGACATTTTACTCTGTGATTCCATCTACAGTGAGGCTGCATTCCTTTTCACGATCAGTGTTTTAACCAGATCTAATGATGTCTTTGTGTGGGTGACAACTGATCCAAAGTGGCCGCTTTTGGCCGCACAAGCGTTTTGCTTCACCTCGTGCTATGCCTCGGTCATAATCTGAGTGTCTGATTTATTGTTCACAGCATAAAAAAGGCGATTACCCTACTTTTTTGACTTTAATTAGCTGAAATTGGCGATTATTTGGAGGATGCATTTCTGGATCATTCCTACCTTGCGGGTCTACGATTGGTTCCTTCAGCAACTCCGGAATTTCTTGACAAGGTTATGGAATGTCATCGAAGCCTAATGTGGGTCCAATGTGGTGAATGTATCCACTCACTTTTTACTATGCGAAAGTAGAAATGCTGAATTCTATCCTTCTTTTTTCCGTAATTTTAGCGGTCAAACGCCAACAGAAGCTGATTTAAGTCTTTTGGACACAGCTAGGAAGGTTGAAATGTATGGAATCCGATTAAAACCGGTCAAGGTGAGCCCTCAAATTGGTAGACTTTTTCACTTCTACTCCTTACTCTTCTTTGCCATACCAATTCACATTAAGTTGATGCATCAACTTAATTCTACCGTTGCCGCTTTCAGGTTGGCCCAATCGCCAATTTTTTGTTTTACCTTCGCCTCGGCTTTGGCTCCGCTCTCATTTGTGATCCAGAGTAAATAATCCTTTCAGTAGTGAGTATATGCAACAGTAAATTTATCACAAAATCTAAGTCCTTGAGAATGGGAAACTGAACGTTCTTACATTGATGAGAAACCGATAATACCAGCAGCTGCAAGGTGGAACAAACGACCAAGTACAGATGGAAACTTCCTCGATTAAGAACCTGTAGTTATTTCCTCACCGTTTGATGGACATTCAAAGAGGATGGATGAATAGGTACAAGATGGATGGACGTACGAATGAATAAATGAGTGGATAAGGGTTTATTGCCAAAGTTCAAAGTAGTCCGATGAAGTGGGTCACGCTCAGTTCCGCAAACCATTAACAGGACCCCCTTTTACCCTTGAAAATCCAACAAAATTCTCACAAACAGGTAGCAATGACCACGGCTAGAAAGCGGTTTGGTAAAACTCAACTTTTCATAACTAAAGACTTAATAGCGGGGCTTGTTTACGCCCACCTCTCTCCCCCGGCTCCTCGTTATGGATCTCGAAATTGTTCGCAAGCCAACAACTATTGACGAGGCTGGAACAGCTTCACGGTCACTTAGTGCTCAATGTCGTTGCATTCTGTAATGGCACATTTTCGCCTCTGCATCAAAAAAATTCTACCCATTTGCTCAACTCCTCTCTAATTCTCTCGCTCCCTCTCTCTCCCCAACTGGCTTGCCTCGAAACCCTCATTTTATGAGCGGACGAGTGAGAATGAGGGAGCCAGCGATGGGACTTTAATGACGCGAATTTGATTCGGTGTGGGAGTGTGTTTGCTTCTGTATGCCATTCCTGACTGAAAGAGAGGATTTTGAGCTCATTCCCCGTTGAAGACATATTGACGTGTGAGTAAGGTCAAAGAGGTCAATCTAAGTGCAAAAAGATTCTTTCTTCTATGGTCGCACTCCATTACGGAGGGTTAATGTAGAGCTCGTGACGTTGAGGGCAGCGATCACAAGTCTTCATTATTGGGTCTTATAGACCTAATTTGTCAACAAAGCTCCTTGGAGGCATTTTTGATACGTCGGCTACATTATTGTCTTAGTTCGAGGCAGGGATGAGACTAGACGAGTTTTTACTGCAGCGTCTGGGTCACCTCTTCTCCCCTCTTGGGCTGGTGGTCAAGATCGTGGCGATCGAAGAGCCCTCTTAGTTAAATGCATGGCTAAACATTCCATTACAGCGAGCAAGTAGCTCATCTCTTTTTTTTGACCTCTTCCTCTCCTATTTTCACCATTACGATGTGGTTGGGTGCTTTGAAAGCCACCCACGAGTTGTGTAGCCCCCGTCATTAAATTTTCATGGAGGCGAGGCGACTATTTGTCTCACCGTGGGCAATGCTTGCCATCGATTCTATTATGCCCCGGGTTTTGTTCTCTTTGTTATCTGCATTAGGGAGAGAGGGCGGGGGGGGGGTGGAGGGGGATTGACTCGCCTCATGCAACAATCGCTTTGCGTGCGAGTATCTGTCCAATGCCCGAGACAATGCTAGCCGTCTATTTCGGCTTACCACCTTACTTGCATCTACATGTTGATTAGTTAGTAGCCCCATGCCAAACGTCTTCAATTTAGTCCAGTTTGACATGCCCACTGGACAGCACAAGGTATTAATTGGCCGACCTCGGTAAGTCGGAGGCCTCCGGTTAAAGGATGTGCATTTTTAAATGGTGGCGGCTTTTCTACCTCCCCCAACCATTGGGCTTGGGGCTAAAGAGTCATTGCAACTGAGAGATACTCCCATTACGTAATTCCTTCTTCTAAATACTAGGGGTCGGATGGAATGCCACTGAACCTGGCCGTGTCACATGCCGGTCTTTTCGTCTTTCAAGGCGTCTCTAAGGTAAACACCTTCTCCTGGGCTCGTATTCGCAAGTTAAGCTTCAAACGCAAGAAATTCCTTATTAAACTTCACCCTGAGGGTTACGTAAGTCCAACTTCTCTTCTCCCCTAACTGTTTTTTTTTTCTCAATTACATTCTCGTCTTCTTGTAGGACGCTGTAGAGTTCTTTTTTGAGTCGCGAAATGAGTGCAAAGGCTTCTGGAAGCAATGCATCGAACACCACGCATTTTTCCGTTGTCAGTCGGTAAAGGTTGTGGGAAAATCGGGGAAGGCCTCCAAGAACGCCGCACAAGTGTGAGTTATGCTTCTCAATCCTCCATAAGAATGAGGTAATTTTTATGGGTTAAGTATTTTCGAAACTTTTTCTTCAATTTGTCGTTTTGCTTTTTTTGGTAAGTGCTTCTGGTGTTAATGAAGCGGAAAGGGGTTGAAAATTGCACCAAATAAGCCACAAGCTAGAAAAATAAAACCAAGTGGTTTAAATAAATTGCAAGCGGATTTTTGACCAATTGATGGGCTTGATTTGTTGGCAGTATGATTGGCTGATTCCTCAATTTGATCAATATTTCATTGGTCGATTACGAACCAACTTGTTATGATCGGATTGGCTGACTGCCCTATTTTGTTTGTTGTTTCATTGGTTGATTCAGGATCATCAATTTAATACTTACCCTTCAATTTTTTTGCATAATTTTCTTGAAATAAAAGGCAATTTTATTTAGCTTAGTCCCTTTTTTGATTATTTATGAGGGCCTTTTGATGAGAAAAAACGTCACTGCCTTGTTTTACATAATTGTGTAAGTTGTTGCCATATTTAATCTGAAAATACATTAAGACAATTTTTTGAGGCCACTTTTTGAATTCCAATCACTATTTGCATAGGCGTTTGCCTATAGCCAATCTTTTCTAAAGGAAATGCATAATTTATGCGCAAATTCCTTTAGAATTAAAGTCGCTCAACCCGGGTTTCGCTCCTCTACTAGTACCTGCTGCAGAGCCAGATATAGCGGCAGTTGTATAAAGCCAATATGATTTTAATGTCTTCATGAATTCTATCGAGTTACATCACTTGTCTCCCTTCTAAAATGCATTGGGCCGTAAATCTTCTTCAAAGCATTAATAAAAGCGGGTATATTCTTTCCTAAAGAATAAAAGTGTCGGATGCATCCCCTCAATGGAGCTGCCTAGTTTATGCATTTATCCCTATTTTGTGGCCCCTCAAACCCGGATTTACTCACTCATCCACTGATTTCGAATCCTATCTATTAACATAATTTGCAGTGAATCTCCTACATTGCCTTGTCTTTCAGCGCCTCTGCCTCTTCAACCGGTCGTGTCAACCGATCTCCAGGTCGTGGATGTGGCGGTGTCAGCAATACCTCGCAACCGATCCTCACTTCTGCTGTATCCATCGGCTCTGATGCAAACCACCTTCATCATCACCACCATGTCATCCAACAACAGCAACAACAGGCAACATCAACAGCACAACAGCCATCTCAGGTGACAGCACGTAGTCTTCCTCTTGCCGGTACTGTAGACGACGCTGCAGTACCCTCCTTTGTCCAGCTACCAACAGGCGGCTCTCTGAGGTATCCTCAGAGGGTGATGCTGGTCGTACCGAGACGGGCTGATGGGACAATTGGAAGGACTACTGTGACGACGACACAGGCTGTTGCAGCGACAGGTGGAGGGGGATTTCTGGTGATGTTGCCGACAACTAGTGCGGATCAACAACAGCAGAATGCATGGCTTTCAGCCATCCAACACCAGCATCAACAACAACAGAGAGCATTTTCTCCAGTGAATGGAAAAGGTAGGAGAAATATTTTCATCTAAGTATTTGTCGCTTCCATTTTAATGGGTTATTTGATTAGTAGGCTTGTAGCTTGAATGATTGTTAAGTGGTTCAATCTGAAAAATGACTTCTGTACTTCAGAGTTCGTTGGTCAAACGAGCATGTCATTTGTTCTGGTCTGTCTGCTTCCCCATCTCTGATTCCGCCATAGTCACCTTATCTCTCTGAGGGAATTTTCTCAACTTTTTCTTCTGCCTTTTCACCATCCTTTTTGGCGACAAGATCTTTTTTCCCCTCCATTTTCTTCTTTATCCCCGACCTCAAAAGTAATTAGATTTGCGTCTCAAGCATATTCCTTGGCAGTTTTTTACCTCGTTAAAACAAGCTAAAAAAGGAAGTCACTTTAAACTTTACTGGAACTACTATCACTGCTGGCATTTATTTCCTTTCTAGAACCGACCTATTCAACGTTGCAAACCTCCCTTGTCATGACTACACAGGCTCCACGTAATGGAAGCCTTCAGGACGGTGGAAATGTCTGCCCACAGACGTTGAGTCATCTACCAACTGCACGGGTGCTTTCACCGAATTTTCTTACCACTTCGCAAACTGGACTTTCCACAGCGTGTACGGTGATTCCATCAGCTCAAAGACCTGCGTCTGGAAGGGTTGTTTACGTTGATAGTGCTACTGGGAGGGTGAGGATCATCTTGAAACCCCCTTTTCCCCTCGCCTGGATTGTAACACTTAATTTACTCCTGAAGTTACCCTATGACGTACGGGTGCCTCGCCCAGCGTTCTTGCATTTTCCAATTCTAGCTCATCTCCGATACCCAGCTGGTTGCAGTCCCACGGCCCTTAAACGTGGTGGGCAGTGGATTCAGCTCGGCTCCAGCTTCGCAAGCTCCCACTGTTGCCACTTCACCCATTGGGGGCCCTTACAGTGGTTCTACGGCGGCAGCAGTAGCGGCAACAATGATTGGAGGACCTACTGGAGTCGTTCCACAAGACATTAGCAACACAGCTCCCATTCCCGGTGGTTCCAGCACTGCCAGCAGTCTTCCACAACTTCTTCGGTCTCGTCCACACGGTCCTCCTCCACCAGCTCCTGAGGTACGTCTTTGACCTTCACATCTTCGCAATGCGTTAAATCACTCTTGTGGTTCTTAAAGCATGCTTATATGGAGGACTAGAAGGTCTTGCCTCCAGGATGTTGTTACAATCTGCAAACCTACACTTACGCTTTTCTTCCAGAGGAGAGATAGTGTGCATCCACGTGACCGGCAGCTCTCTTCCAGCACTTTGGATTCTGGCATCACCTCAAAATCGGCTTCTCTTTCAAGACCCCCATTTGATGCCTCGGCAGGGGGTGTGGAGGAGGATGAGGAGTTGCCCCCACCACCGCCTCCTCCACCAATGGAAATGCAGGATCCCGATCCTGCTCATCCCTACCCCTTTAATGTCATACCGGTAGAGGGAGATTTTTCAACACGAAGACCAATGCAGGCCTCGTGTCTCAGTTTAGCGGCGCGGAGTGTAAGATCGAGCTGCCAGAGTTTGCTGCCTACTGATAATGAGGTAGATGGCAAAATATTACTGTTAAAGCTTATAAGTAGAGGGGTAAAAAATCTTTTATAATATAATGGATGAGGAGAAACCATATTATTCCAGTACAGATGATAGGACGATGCATCGTGATAATTAATTCCACATGAATTAACCCTATCACGGTTTGCTTCATACTACTGACAACTTAATGAGTAGTTTTGTGTATCAGGATTTGCAGTGGCAGTATTCTCTTAACAAATGGTATTTTAAGAAATTGTGAAGATGTTGGCACTTAAGGTGAATCTTAAATGCATCTTCCGGTTGTGGTGGTGTTCTGTCACATCACCTACTGACAAAATAGTTGGACCAGTCTATTAACAAAAGCCAAATAAATCAACTACGCAAGTTCAACTGATTATTTTATAGGAAAGGGCCTTTTGAAGATACTTGTTGACAGTATTGGTGACTGACTGACGTAAAACCTACCCGCCTACGCTTCAAAGTTACCGCGGTGAATTGTGCCGGAAATCGCCCCAATATGTTTTTATCACCTAACAACGTCTCAGCCTGTTGTCTATATTTCCCTCTTTTTGTCTTTTATTGTCATTTAGCCATTGTTAAGTTATCTACATAAGTTATTACCAGATTTTTACATCATAAAAAGGTAATAAGTCTTCAGATATCCTCCACTGTTTACTGCTATCGCAGGATACTGTAAACAGTTACCTTGACTCTTCTGTTGATGTGAGTCACCACAGGTTTAGCTGCCCACAACAAATGTTGTTCTTCTGGTAGTTACCACTCGATCCACTTATAAGTTGGTCCTCTGTTAAACAAACCTAAGAGCTAGTAACGGAGCTCTGCGATACCACCCCCTTCCACCCTAAGGAGGTTACACGATCCGAAATTAACTGTGTGTCAATCGACAGAAGAGCTGAAAGAGCCTACTTGTTTATCACAGAAGGAGAGGAGCAATAATCTTTGTTCCTGCTTTCAGGATCTCGATGAAGATGAAGAGGAGGAAAACCGGTCCCTCTCTCACCATCAATTTGCTTCACGCAGCGCCAGTCTCCACCGCCCCATGGCAAAGCGCGATCGGTATGCAGAGGCGTCCACCACCACCCAGGACGATATAGCCACGGCACTAGCGGTGAATCGCAGTTCCACGAATTCCTCCGCTACTGGTAGTGTTGCTGCCGCTACCTCCTCCGCATCTTCTCGCAGTCTCGTCTCACTCTCCTCAAAATCCCGTCATGAAGATCGATCTTTGCGTTCCTCTCGACAAGGGTCGACTTCTTGCAGTTCCAGAAATCTGGTCAGTGCATTTAAGTGGATCTTTTGCAGCATCCTCTTCCATTTCCATAGATGTGTAACAAGGAAATCCCAGCGCGGAAGAATGACTCGTCATTAGTGTACTTAAGGACCAATAGATTATAGCAGAATCTGCGGTCACTCAAGATGTACATTTAAGTAACAAGCATTTCCCTGCACCTTGTTGTTATTCCTTTTTTTAAGCAGAACTTGTTTACTTCCCATTGATACTTTATAGCCGAGAGCTCCTGCCAGTGTTGCCTACCACCTGTTGCGAGAGCTGACAATGACGGAACGGACGTACAAGAAGGATTTGGATGTCGTTTGTGAGGTATGGAGTTCATGTTTTGTAATCTGACCAGCACTTTTGAAGTTTTAAAGAAAAGACGATATTATTTTTAACGAACCGTAGTTGCTGTTTCACCTAACAAATCGACTACCGACGTCACATATATGTGACGCATTTATTGCAATATCTGAGTCCGGTCTCACTAATGTATATTAAGCGTATTTTAGCAAGTTAGATAGCGTAATATCCTATAAGCCTTTTATAGCTTATTAATATATTTCTTTTCCTTGCAAAACTTTATGTTTCCTGGAAGGCTAAGTTTTCCCCTCCTTTTCCTTCCCCGTTTTTTAAGCGAATTCGTTTCCCTTCATTGATTAAAACCTTAGTTTCCCTTAAACATTCAAGCCTTTTTCAGCTCTATTAATCAGGTCTAGTTTTACCGACGGAAAAAAATTGGGTTTTCCTTGAAAACAGCGAAGACCCGAGAAGGGGAAGGATGAGGAGGAGGTAGGGAGTTCTACTTCCATCTGACAAGCCGGTTGTTCTGTCATCTTGAAGTGGAAGTGGCTATAAAGTTGTAAATTTTATTTAAGGAGTGTGTATACGTTAGAGGCGCAAATTCACCTCATGTCTGAGGGCTAACTGAGTCCTCGCATAGAGTCAGACTATAGCGGGGTGGTGGATACGACCTGACCTCGGTTGTCCATCTGACTACTGTCACACCCTTGTATTCAGGAATGGCGGCTAAAGGTGCTCTATCTCCCTCCATAGTGGACTTATTCATGAAAACTTTATGTTCAAATGCCTTAATACCGAACGGCTGGACGTGCCGTAACCACGCCATACTGTAATTAATGTCTGTTTTAGATAAGGCTAGATGTCCGCCAGTTGGAGATGTACCCCGTTGTCGGATTTTATTATCAAAAGCTGTTAACCGCAAGCACACATACACGCAGTACAAGTGTTACCCCAGTCTTGATTAAGGATGTATGTGAACCGGGGTGGATTAGTGGAGCTCTGGTAACGACATCCGCGTCGCCCATTATTTGCAGGAACTGCCCCTACAAGTCCCAGCTTGGTTAAAATAAACACTCCAGTCCGCTTATTTAAAAAATCCCTTAAGGAAGAATTTATTTAAGTGATACGGCCACGAAAGCTACCAAGGTATTGCGTCTTCAGAACATAGAAAATAACTTTTTCCTCCTGTTGTCAAGAAAGCGTCGCCACGAGATTAGGTCAGAAGGGGAGCTAGGCTGATAACTTGATGATGATGGGAGGCAAATTCGCCAACTTCTTTCCCTTTTTGTTACTGGAAAACTCCGACTCTCTCTTGAATTTAATCCTCTCTATCTCCCTCTCCTCTTCCTCCCTGTTACTGCCTCCTTTTCTCTGGGGCTTTGTTCATTTCTCTGCTGGCGAACTTTCATGGCCTATTCAACTACTCCTAGAGCAAAGAAAAAAGGTGGCAAATTATTTCCTCTTGTTTAAAAAAAAGGAAAAAACTATTCCATAAAAAATGCGTAAGAACCGAAGTGTTGCGTATGGAGAAATCTTAGCTGAGTGATTTAAGTAGGGCAACTTCTAAGCTCGAATGTGCGCAGTTCTTGGGCCAAAATCTCCGTCGCAATGGACATACTTGGTCAGCGGTATAACACTATTTCAATCAACCATCAATCATTGTTGTCTACTGAGTCTCCGAAATCATCCCATCAAGTTCTACTTCAAACATTGTTGTTCAAGCTAAGTGATGGAAAGTAGTGGGACATCCGACTCGCAATGCTTTGAGGTTTCACAGAGCCCGTCTTGGACATCAAATGACACCTTGGGGTCACTTCATACTGAATGCCGCTCTCCACGATGGCTCACTGTTGTCAATACACTC